GGTGACTTTCCCCCTAGCCTCAAGGCCAAGATATAAATTCAACTATAACCCTCCTTAACACTTTCTTTAAGACACTTCTAGGTTGGTTAATATGCATAGTTGTTTTAGATGTGTTTTTATTCAGTTACTCAGTCTATTAGTCACTACCTACAAACATCATAATTAAATTTCAAAGTACTGGAACTGGGATATATACAAAATGGAGAAGAACCCTGGTACTGCAAATTTGTGTTTTTTAAAGCCACAGTTTAGCAACAAATGGCAGTGATTTACCAGTTTTGTTTTTAAACCTCAGAGTTTTAAATTACATAAAGAAACTGGGAAAGGGGATAGTCTACCTTTGAAAAACTGCTGAAACACAGTTGCCTCTCATCTGTTCCCTAGAAAATATTGGTATGATCATGTATAGTTCAAAAAGAAAAAAATGTTCCTGTGAAGAACATCTTGGCTTACCATCTTATTGCAGGAATCCCTCATCAGCTGAATTCTACAGCTTTCTTAACTTTCCTGATTGAATAGGAGATAGGCATGCCATCAAAGTAATTTGTCCTTCTGCCGCCGTAGCACCTTCCACACTGACACCAGCTCTTTAAGTCAAACTCTTTCCATTTTCCTCTGATTCAAAGAAAAGAGTTATAATATAGATTTACTGTTGCAATACATCTATGCATAAACTCCCAGAAACTATACTATTTATGAAATTATGATATTTAATAATTTTAAACCACCCCTAGTGCATAGGATGGAGGGTCACCTAAGAATAAATTAGAATGGTGTAAGAAAGAGGGCTGTTACGTTAAAGACATCATACTAATTTCTTGTGAAATGTGTATGGTGAATATAAGATGATTACAGAAAGCAAAGGAATGTTTTAAGTTTGTGAATTTTGCAATGTATTTCATCCCTACTTTTGCCATGGTGTTGATATGTGACGATAGGCAAATTCCTTAAACCCTGAGGTCAGATGTGAGAATTAAGGGAGGGGGCAGAGAGAGGAGAAGGAAGAGAAACGCTGTGAGAGCGTAAGATTAGATTCTGCTTCACAAAGTGCAGTTAAGGATAAGGCATTCAGGTTGCACAGATGTATTCAGTAATAGCATTTCTTAGCTTGACTGCATGATGCTGTCACCTACTGGAACCTACTGTATTATTTTAAACTATTTTTTGTGTGTAACAGTAGACTGATATAGAAATTGAAAACGGGACTGATGGAAACATTTGGGAAAGTTGGTTGGAGAATGCCTGCAGTAGTTGTTAGATAGCTATACACATAGCTTCTTTAGGCAAGAAGCTTTAGCCAGAACAGCTATGGCATTGAACTACAGTCTGGAACCAGTGGCCAATGATTTTTTTGAATGAAATGAAAGCCAAGTAGTCACTTTTCTTGTGTTTCAAGCTGGAATGAGGAGTAGGTCAAGGTAACATTAGTCAAGTTGGGTGTAGATACATTTCTTTCACTCTTACCTGTAGATGAGCCTCGGATCTGTGAAAATTTTGGGGTAAAACCAGCTATGTGTGCAGCTCCTGGGATACCCTCTTGATTATTTCTTTATTGTTCTGTGCTTGGTTCCCTTCTAGGAAGCAGGTTGCTTCCTTCCAGCAGTGTTGCTGGCTCCACTGGAAAAGGAAAAGGCAGCAAAACAGATGCTCAGCACCATAATCCAGTAAGTGCTTTAATAAAATGTTTCCTTCTCGCTTACACAGAGATAAGGATGGGAGAAAAGAGAGAGACTTAATTTAGGAGGCTTTGCTTGCTCAGGGTTGAAAGAAGGTGCTTGCAGGGAAAGGTTAAAGAACTGCCTTGTTCTGCAGGCCTCCATTTTGTGCTGCGTGTGAGGTCACTGCTGGAGGACTGTCTCGGTGCACACTGGGTGAGTAGCACAGGTAACAGCCATGGAGCAGCGCTGCAGGCTGGTGGTTCAGGGTGGAGGCAGGCCCCTGGGCCGCCCCTGGGCCATCCCTGGCTTCACTGAAAGAGTGCAGCAAGTACTGTACGGCTTCACAGTAAATAGAGTTAATCCTATACCTTCTTCCCCAAATGATCTTCCATGGCCAGCTGACTCTGGCCTGTTTAATCTACCGAAGCTCTGCCTTTCTTGGTTGCCTGCTCCCTCTCAGGGAACAGCATTTCCCATTGAGACACCTCTCTCTGCCCTAATCTATGCTCAGATTTATTCTCTTTCTTTCATTGTTAGGATTCCTTTGCTCAGATGTCACCTAGCTTTCTCTGCACCTATCCTCTGCTTCCTATGGTTTCATTATTTTACTGAACCACTTTCTTTTACTCATTTTGTGACTTTGTGCCTATCTCCATGCTTGCTTGTTTGCTTTCAGCCTAGCATTGGTGGACCTACTTCTCCATGCCAGTTTCACAGCTTTTCCAGACATGGGAAGTGAGACTGGATCTCCTGGTGAGGTCTGTAATAGAGCAAAGGGGAACACAACTCCAAGTTTGTTCCCTAGAGTTCATAGTCCAGTTTTGCCTGCATCACTGAGAGTCTCTCTTTTGGCTCAAAGTCCCTTTCCTTGCCCAGTATCTTCTCTGGCTTGACAGCTGAACAGCATGCTACCATGAAAGGGATGTCGATGTTTGTTAGGTTCTAAGGAACTAGTTTGGTATATAGCTAAGTAGAAGAGGTAGCATCTTTATGGAAGAAAATTCTTCCAGCTATTCCTAAATAGCTGGCAGTTCTTATTACTGCTTAGCATTTACCGCTCTGCCTGGTAGAAAGACACAACGGTTTAGATTCTCAATGTTTTTTCAAGTAATGCTCAACTTTTAGCTGCCCTGCCACCTGGTGGCATTCAGAGCAGTCAGATGAACAGTTGAGCTCCATGCAATGGTGGACGCTGATGTTGCAGCAGACTGGCATCTACAGGCAGAAGATCAGAAAAAGAAGCCAGGTAAAGAAGCTGGTACTCAGTGCTGAGACTACTTAAATGCATGCTATGCCAAAAATAGTACAAAGAAAGTACTGAGAGTAACAATATAGCTGCCAGCCAGTGTTTACTGGGGTAATCACCAGTGTCTGCCAAGAGCTGTGCTTATGATCAGGACTCTAACACAGAAGGCTGCCTAAACAAGAGGTAGAACTTCCTCAAAGCTCTGCTCCCAAACAGGCAATTTTTGCTCAAAGTAGGTATACAGTCAGAATTGCAACAATATGCATACTCACTGATATAAATGCAAAGGCTGTAACCACTTACTAGTGGTTATCACAGGCAGTAAGCAACGTAAGGAAAATCCTGAGTTTGGCTTTTCCTTATCTCAGTGGTGTTTAAGTACTATTTTAGCATCTAAGGCTTTGAGCATTTAATTTCCACTGATTTCAAGTAGGTCTAAGGGCCTTTAAGATAATTTTGGGAAATACATAGCAGTCTATAAGATCCATCTCATTTGGTCCATCTGCCAAATCAACAACGTTCTGTCACAAAGGCTATTTTTTTTTTAGTCAAGCTGGTTCAAAGGACAAAGTTTTATGAGACCCTGGCTTTCACCATGAGATTATTTCAAGATGTTCCTTGCATTCTCCCGACCTTCCCACCAGAGTTCATTACCTCCCATTTTACCCATTTCTGAGACAGCACTGCCTATGGCAGTGGCCCCAGGTCACTGGGGTGATCTGGCTTAAAGTGATGTTTTAGTCATTCCATTTTTATCACAACCTCAGAATCAGTTTGATAGGAGACTAGCAAATTTCAGGGGAGAAATGGTAACAAATTTCTTTAACATAGCTTCAAGGGACTCAAAGAAACCTATGGCATCCACATACATGGTAACTTCCGTCATTCTAACTCGTAAATGAAGGTAGCCTCTTACATCTCACAAAGATTTCCTTAAATTCCAGGCTGGATTTCCCCAAAGACTAATGAGTGCACTGGTGGAAAGGAGAAAGAAGTTCTCAAATTATAGGATATTTCCTGAAGAGCTGAAAAAGGTGTAAGAAGAAAAAATTGTGGATGGGGGAACAAATGATACTCCCACAACACTTTAAGCTGTAAGAGGATAGAGATTTTTTTTCTGATGCTTTGTTCCAGGAGTTGCTGTTCAAGTGAACAAGCAAGAATATGCTTTACCTTAAAATTCAGAAAGAGACAAAAAAATGGAATTCCAGCTGCTGCTAGTTCTTCTGCTTCCTTCAGTGATGCATCAGAGACAGCCAGGAATCATTGAGAAATCAAGCCTCATACAAATCAAATTAATTTGAGTGTGTTACTCCAATTCAGCCAATACAGGGCCAGGTTCAAACTATTTCAGTGTGAAATTTCTAACTACTGTAATCGGAGATGAGAGTGAAAAATGAAGTGTTTTGGTTTTAATTTTATTGTTTGCATATATTTCCCTCTGCAGACTATATGATGGGAAGTCCCTCATAGCCATATCCAAATCACCTTTGGATAGGCAGCAATTAGGTGATCCTTGAGAAAGCAAAACAGAGTCTGGTTCAGTTATCAACTAAACTTACATGGTATTCACCATTTTCCTCCAAAGACATTACTGTAAAACTGGCGTTAATTAAAAACCCCGGCAAGGTCTGGGGTTGGTGCCCAAGAATGCATGTGTGTGGTGGTCTCCTCAAATGTCAGTCACTGCAGAGCAAGGTGTATAAAATACTATGCAGGAGGGGGACAGTTCCTTTTGAGATACTTGATTGGTTCCCCAGATTTTTCTTTGGGCTTGAATTGTCCCTCTCTCTTCCACTCTTCTCTCTCATGTCCCCTCCAATTGCCATGCTGCAGAGTAAAATTTGGAAACGTGAATGCCTTGTCCTGTGCTTTTAGTGTCTATGTAGTATCTTGGACTTAAAATAAAAGGACAATGTGGCCAGCTTCTCTTAGGCTGTATGTGTGTTCGTTTCATATGTTCCTGCTTGTCCTTTAGAGAAATCCAGAGATCTCAGTCCAGTAACAACAATTTAATCCTCTTGCTTTTAGGGTAAGAGAAAGAGAACTAATCAGGAAAGAAGAATGTTTAACCTGCAAGAATTTAAATATTTAATGTTTAATCTTTAATGTTAATCATGAATCTGTTGAAAGAAAAGAAGCACATTTGTATTGGTAAAGACCTCACCAGACTGGTAATACTGGCAAACCTTGAACTTCTTCATAATTAGAGATTAGACTGAGCTGTAAAGTTAGTGTTAAGGACGAGAAAGCCATCTCTCCATAAAATTGGATACATTCAGATAATCACTGAAGATTGACCATGCACATATATATTTTGACTCTTGTATTTCCCCAGGACTTTTCACATCTTGGGGCTTGGAACTGATGGAACTGGTCCCAGCCATTTTTCACCTGCAAGACAAACCAGCACAAAAGACAAGGTTAAAATTTAATACATAAAAGTGATTGGCCAGTCACATTTCTGCAGTAGGATGACTGTTCCTACTCTTCTTTTGAAGGGTAGCTACTGATGATGGAATACAGATTTGTATCAATTGGCATGCTTCAGCCAGCTCCATAAATGAAGCTGTACAGAAGAATTATTTTCCTCTGTCACAGATGAGAGATTCTGCAGGTCTGTGGCACTCCACATGAGGGTGAAGCCAATTCTTTTTAGGACTCCTTTTTTGAGGGGCTGGGGGGTAAGGAAGAGAAAAAGGCTGGAAGGCTGGGGAGTCAGAGAAACAAAAGGAAAATCTGTTGAATTCCTTGGAGTTGAGCTTAGAAACCAGGCTATAACATTCCAATTAGGATTAGTAGTGGGTGTTGGGTATTCATCTTCCTCATTCTCAATTTCATCAAGAATATTTTTATAGAATCAGAAACCCATCTGGAAAAGAAAATAAACCTCAAAAAAATTCCCTTCTGTTTAAGCCTACCACTAATTTAAATTTATATTAATTTTTTCTGCTGAAATTTTTCAACAAATGCATCAGAGCTAATTATGCGCATAACTCTTTCTAGTGACAAACTCTCTCAAGAGCCAAATCTTGAGATAAATAACTAAATGCCCTCTAACTCATGTAAAAGCAGGTGACTAAGTTTTATTAGTTATCACAACCTATTCCAATTCTCTTTAAACATTTAAAGTTCATATTCTATTAACGAAAATGAAAAATGGTAATTACAAGTTATGGATTGGGGAGCTGTGATAATGTGCTTTTTATTAAGAAGGAACAGATATAAAATGAAAATGTTAAAACTACAAAAAAAGAAAGTAGTATCAGCCATAGTCTTAATCTTAGCCAAGATCTAAGGTTAAATGTGAACATTTTGGAAACTAAAGAGTTTCAGTAGTAATTTGAGAATGGCATGTGGAGCACAAAGCCTTGAAACATACCAAGAGAGGATGGAGAACTCAAGTCACTTCTTGTTTGGAAAAGGACTACATCTTTGGTCACTCTAACTTTACTGAGATACATTCCAGTCAGTGGTTTCATCCCATGAGAAGGACACCCAACATTATTTAATATTTGAAAGACCTTAAGAGCATTTTGTTTAGCTGTATTACGTATTTCATTAAAAGAGGTTGAAAGCATGAAACCAAAAGTGATGTTATTAGGTACACTTACCTATAACGCTGCCTAGCAGCTCTAAACGATCAGAGCCGAAAAAGAGATGAGGTTCCCCATTAAAATGTGCCACAACAGCAGGCATCCCAAATGCCTATTGCACCATGGAGATGAAACAGAGAATGTTATAACGAGAGAAATTTTTGCAGACACATGATCAATCTTCAAGAATAAAAAGCAGAAACTTTTGACTTTTTTTCCTCCCCTTCTTTTCATCTTCTTCATTCTTAAAGATGAGTCTAATGGAGCCATCAGAAAGTAGGGGACTCTCAAGAGCCTGTGTACCCCTTTTGAAGGAGCAAAGAAAAGCAACCTGATAAATCCACAGTTTTATGTCAAGTAGCAATAAATGGTATCGCTTAGTACTGATCCTGTAGCTCCCCATCCTTGCTGTCCAGCTGGAATAAGCTGAATGGGTCAACGATCGTTTCCCAGGTGACAATGAGATAAACTACCAACAACAGTGAGTTAGCTTTCACATGTTCAAAAAGCAAAGACCACCTAAGAGAGATGGTCTATATAGTGCTTTCTAATCATCACTTTCATTGTTCCTTGCTTCCCAGTATTCTTAACAGGGAAGGAATGCATAGCTGTGATGCCAAATGGCATTGGAAGCATCTCACCCCATATTTTAGTGCTTCCTCTGTTGTCTCTTTCAGACGGTTCTTCACTGCAGGGGATGAAATCATTTCAAGTAGCTTCTGGGTGAGCTCTGATGATAGCCCAACCTGTCTGGCAACCTAAGAAAAGATGGTATCATTAAGGGTACTCTAATACTAAATATTCTAATTCCTACTGTGGTCTAATTAATTTAATCTTCAGTATTATCACTGAAGCACTTCTTGCACAACCGTTTTGCTGTAGGGGCGAATGAAGACAGACACAAGCAAACAAGGAGATGCCTACCTCTCTGCCTTGCTGAACATAGGGGGATGCTCTTAGACTGCCAAACAGTGACTAAACTACATAGAGATCTTTAGGAGTATGAAGTTTGTTTCTCTGAAGTTCTGTATGTCCTTGCTTTATCTTTATTTAAATAACGATGGATTCAGAGACTATGTGAGGACTTTCTGTATATATTTATGTACTGGGTCTGGCTGGGATGGAGTTAGTTTTCTTCACAGCAGCTCCTACAGTTCCGTGTTTTAGATCTGTGACCAAAACAATGCTGATAACACACTAATGTTTTACCTATTGTTTGCACAGTGTCAAGGCCTTCTCTGTTTCTCACTCTCTCCCCCTGGCCTGTGAATAGATTGGGGGTGCGCAAGGGGTTGGGAGAGGACACAACAAGGCAGATATCTCGAACCAACCAAAGAGATATTCCATGCCATATAACATCATGCTCAGCAATAAGAAGTGAGGAGGGGGTTTAGGGAGGTTAGCCACCTTGTGCTTGGGAACTGGCTGGGCATCAGTCTACCCGTTGAGGTGATGAGGGATTGCCTTTGCATCACTTGCTTTGTTTTCTTTCTCTCATCTTCCACTTCTCCTTTGCTTATTAAGCAATTTTATCTCAACAAGTTTTCTTGCTTTTATTCTTCTTTTCCTCTTCCCCTGGACCACTGGGCAGTGGAGGGAAGTGAGCAACCGCCTGTGTGGTGCTTAGCTGCTTACCAGGGTTAACACACCAGAGTTTAATTATATCCTTCAAACCTTGTCTCTTAAAAAGGCAAAATGCAAACCTTTGCTGAAATTCTGGTAAAAAAGGTACACTAAAATGAAGCCGAAGTGTAAGGATTAGGCTCTGGGGAAATAGCAAGACTGCAAGATTCAGGTTTCAAATAGGGATGTTGGATAGGAGAGACTAGTCATGGACAATTCCTCTCTTTTTTCCATATTCCAAGAACTTAAAAAATAAAATAATGGAGAAATAAAAGCCCTTAAAGAGGATCTCATGGTATACTAACTTACATGTCATTACAGCTTTTGCTGTAATAAAGAAAATCTAAGCAGCAAAAGAAAACACATCAAGAGAGTACAATTTCTAAGCATGTAAAAGGGCAATACAGCACTGAAATTAATAGTAAAGCCTGGCTCCATCACTCCAAGGAAAGTCAACTTCTCTGAAGTGTTGCATTTCACCTGAAGATTTCATATAGCAGCAAAACCTCAATGCATTCTGGAGACACTGTTCATACTTTCACTACTGTTAATAAAATAGTATTACCCAGGATGGACAATGAATTACCTGTTATCTCGCCACATGAATTAACAAAAAAGGAGATCCTGATTCCGAGTGTCATTCAAAACATGACCAAAAAAAAAAAAAATTTCCAAACAGAGCTGCTAGGGAAATTAAATCCACTTTTTTCTAGCTGAAGTTTTTCGAAACTCCAGGTGATCATTTGACTAAGCTGTCTTCATGTCTATTACTGATCCAAGCCATCAATAAGAATCTGTATCAGAAATGCAGAAGCACCAACAAAAAGGAGACACTTACAGCCAATATATTCTCCGGCTGACTGATATCTTCACGCTGGTAAAAGAATAAAATAAGTAATTCAGCACTTAAGAACAAAAGCTCAGCTCTGGACTTGAAAGCAAGTTTTCTAAGAAAACAGAAATAAAAACAATACTAGCTGCTGGGGAAATTTCCTCAGAAAAAGTCACCTAATCTAGGAATGTATTAGGTGCTTTCTGGTGTGATCTACTGATACACTGAGCCCATAGGATTCACCGTACATACCTAAAAGAAGGCAAAGCAAGCTGACTATAATCTAGTTCTTTTCTTGTAATGGCTCCTGAACAACTATGACCTTAAGTTTCCTGCTATGACTTTTCATTAAAAGACATTTCCTTTGTCTTGCTTGAATTCCGTATTTGAATGAAGTGGGACAGGAAAAGTGACAGAGAAATGATCAAGAAGTTGGCGTCATAAAATACTGACCTGTGACCAAAAACGTATCCAGAACTCCCTAGATAAGGGTTCCAAGTATTGTGGTTGTGTCATATCAATGGCTGTGATAAAGCGCATGGCCCCAAGACTGCCTGGGATTAGTGGAGAGACAGAGAAACATACTGAAACAAGGCACAGGATCAGGAACAGATACGGTCTGCACAAGTATATATAACATACTAAGAACAGTATGATCTTCTCTGTAACAGTCCCCAAACAGTAAAGCTTATGTTGATTCACAATATCTTCCATCCTAATATCATTCAGAAGCATATTTCTCCAGAAGTTCCTTTTATGATTAAAAATGCACATACTTCATATTGCTCACAGATACAGGAAGAGGCTGTGGACAGGGAAGTCATCTTCACCTTTACTGTTAGGGAGAACTTGAACCAGAAGTGCTAGGGTTGAAAGATACCAGCTAAGCTAAGTCTGTTACTTACGTGCACCAAGGACACGTTGGAAGTCATCTTCTGAAATTTGTACAGGCACTTGGTAGTATTTTGCCATCCTTTTTATATCCTTCAGCATGTATTCTGCACGCTTTGGCAACATTGCTGGGGGCTTGTTACCTTTCAGAAAAAGTTCTGTTGAGATTTTCAACTGTATTGTAACAACACTGGACAAAACAAAACTGGACAAATTAGACCTCATCCACACATGTGCCTAAGGAAGAGTATAATTTCATATTGACTTACTGAAACACATACAGCTTTTCCAAAGATAATGCTAGGATTTAAACATGATTTATTTTGGCTTTGCACAGATCAACCCTTTAAGTTAGTAGAATCAGTTTTAAACCAAGGTACAAATGTCCTAGCAGGGATTTATATTGATTCACACAAATTAATTTTAAGCTAAACAACTACTAATGCATGGGTAAACAAATGTAGAGACTTGTTAATTTCATGATTTATGAATTATAAGTCTCAGTGATTAACTTGTTCTAATAAGGCCACAAGTACTATTTTATGGCATACTTGGATCCTTCATGCATATTACAAACTGAAAAGTGTTCCACAAATTAATTCTGGTTTGAACACAACAGAAAACTTTTAGGAAAACATTCCATATCAAATTATTATTATCCTATTTTAGAACTGACGAGCTTTGGCATAGACTGTATGTGCCACAAACAATGGCTGTGTAGTGGCACAGTATGAAATTCCTTGTGGCTTATTTCTCAGTCACTACTGAGCTCCACAATCCCATAGTTAATTTGTTATTGGTGCCAAAACTTAGTTCAAAGCTGGATCTGTACTCACTAAGAGCTTGCCCACTAGTATCCTACTAGTGAAGAAGGTATCTTCCTACAGAGCTGGTCTCCCTGTATTGCCTACCAGTTGCTTGCATTATGCCACCAAGGAAAGCTGGACGAAAGCGCAGATCAATATTCCAGATGTGCTGGTACCGGCAGAGCACCTGCAACATAAAAAAGTAGTGATGGATTAACAGTCAGAGGAGATGTCTCTGGAGCTGTGTGCAGCTAGGAAATAAGCTAAGGCATTAAATAGACACTGTAGATAAATCCTTTTCTATTACATTAGTGACAGTCCTAAAAGCCTCTTCTGGATGCTGCCAGAGAACTGATCTCAGAAAAACTGAAAGGACCGCATTCATATTATGACTATACAAGTCTAACCAGGTGTATATAAGGAAAAGCTCAAGCTCATGAGTGGACACTTGCACTTGTTAAACATCAAAACTATCCCTAAAGCAAAATGTTCGGCAATAACTCCCAAATACGCGCAGCCCATGCTGCCATTTGGCTGAGACACACTTCCTTAGTGTCCCTGGTTTTCAACACGTGAGGAAGAAACCGAAATACCCCTCACAAGTGAGATAAAAATAAAACCGAAATACAAGGTGCAAAGGGCGCTGCCTGCAGCAGGGTGGGAAGGCACCGCGAGTCGGCGGGACGAGCTGCCCTTCAGCCGCCTCCTGAAGGACAGGACGCGGCGGGAGCGACAGC